GAAGTCAGAAACACTTTCAGTTTTCTCATGCTGTCGGAAGAAAGAATCATCAACAGGATGAGTGTAGACATACTTTTGCGTGCTTTTTATTTTTTTGGCTCCAGAACTTTCAGGATAAAGCTGATACAGGCTACATTGTTCCTAATATGCTCAACTGCATCGTCAAAGCTGCAGCTGTAGAGCTCTTAATTCAGCAGTTTTTCAGGAGGACGCGTAATAGTACTGCTGGCAACTAGTACTCGTTGGAAACCAACTTCCACTTTTTGGAGGGAATCCGTTGCGCCGGATGCTTCAGCAATGAAATTTAGCCATTCTTCATAGTCGTGGCCTAGCGTCGACTTAAGTAATCCGGGAACGCTGATGAGCTTTTCCAAACCCGTGCCTCGGTCATGCAAACTGAACACCGATGGTGATAACATATTTATCTGAAAAAGCAGTTTTTGTTTGAAACAGCACACAAAAGCTGATGGCGTTGAAGGTAGCATATCAGGTCCAGAGGGGCGAAGAACGTAGTTCGACTACCTCCTAGTCCACAGCCATTTTAGAAACGGGCCGCCGTTTGCGTCATAATCTCCGAGGTGGGGTAAGTGGCTAAAGAAGCCAGCAAGCGGTATTCGCGATGGAGTTCTTCGTGTGTTTATGGGCTCCACCATTTCTGGCGAGAGTATGGCGAAAAACCTGCGAAAAGCCGGCAAATGTTGAAAGTGTGCTGCGCAAGCTGCTTCAGTCAGGCTGCACCGAGTATAATACGGAAAATACAGGTGCTCCAACAGTGCGGGTGGAGAGCAATGTAGCACAAAGACCGGTGTTGTAGTGGGTAGCACGACTTATCCGAATGTGAAGGTAGTGTCGCGAAAGTTGGGTTTTAACGATATTTTATTTATGACCGAGAATGGTTTAGGCCAAAGCTTCTACATATGTGCCACATGTAGTTTTCTTTGAAATAGCTGATGTTCTGATGATAATTTATGGGATGCGTTTAAATGAAGTTTCAAGCGTGTAATGGTATTCTAGATGTTCTTTTTTAGGGCGTGAACGCACCCCGAAAGTCAGTTTATGACTCCATCGCCTGGCTGTAAAACCTTTAATAAGTTAGGGTGTGGCCACAGTACGACTTATAAAACAAGCTTTTGGAGGCAAAGAGTTTTGTTGTTTTTCTGGTTGTTGTTGTGGTTGGGTCGTATGGTTGTTTTGTGATATTTCTCGACTTCTGTTTGGGAGCGACGTAAATAAAGTGTAGTTGGCTAACTGGATTTTGCAAGTGGCGAGAAGGATATTTGAATCACCAAAGAATTGAATCTTAAACTCCATTCTCGTCAGGTGGCGGTTCGATTCACTACAGATCCAAACAAAAAAGAGTTCTGTTCACGTCAGTCCTTGTAAATTTGCATAAACTAAATGTCACTGAATTAGGAGCTTCTGCCTGTACTATTTTTGAAGCAACGCAGAACTAGAACTACTCCGCAGAAACGCCTCCTCCGAAAAGTTCTGGCTTTTACTTCTCTCTTTGCACTTTATTGATGATCATTGCAATTCTTAGCAGCTTACCTCATCCCGGCTTTCCTCGGGCACAAGAGATAATAGGCGCGGTGATGCAAACTTAACTGCCTGCTTGTCGAACTCTGTTGTCCCGTTATCACCAGTGACCGCCATGGCCAGTTTCGCTGCGCTTCGTATTAATTTCACCAGTTCCACTATTTTCTCCATTTTATCTTGCTCCTCGTTATGCGCATTATTCAATTTCTTCCATTTTGGCCCATATTTTCGAAGCAACATCTTTTCTTTCGTCTTAGTGGACTTGTGAAA